CCTTACTTAGAAACATCCATGCTTCTACGCGATGTTTGTCATTTTCTCCAAATCCATTGTTTCTCTCCACCTATGCTGCCACTTTATATATATCTTTGCTCTTTCACTAAATTTCCATCTCAATCCACATTTTCTTCCAAGAAAACCAAACCAATTCCCTTGTAATAACCCATTTTCAAGAAACAACTTTAGTATTTCTTGTATTGTATTGATACATCATATAAGCACGCTTTAGAAATCGAAACTCTTTGAAAGGTTAGAATCCATGGTTTCGCCATCACTTGATTCGCAGATGAATGCTGATAAAAGATTTCAGAGTTCTTTTTCCTTCAAAAATAGGCCAAGAATGCTCAAAGATTTCCTCAAAGATGATTCGTTTTCATGTCCATCAAATGATCCATGCAAATCAAATGTAACGAACAAGCCCTCAGCAATACTTCTTAGAAGTGGATCAAAAGCTGCAGAAACCACATTTTATGCACTCAACAAAGTCATTAAGGCTGTTAAATTCTTCCCATTTGCTTCTGTTAAATCTCCACTAGTTTTACCGAGAAGCATTTCGCGTAAACTCTCCAGGAGGACCAAAAACAGAAATGAAAATTTCCCTCAAGTCTCTGTTAAAGTTAAGGACATTTTACGGTGGAGATCGTTTAGGAACTTGGAGGAGGAGAAAGCCACACCGTTGGATTTTTCTTCGTCATCCCCTATTCGAACCGCCACCACCACCACAGGGTCTACTAGTACTACCACCTCATGCAGCAAGAGATCTAGCTGGTGTGATAGTGATTTTACAGAGGCGGATTCACCATTGTGGGGTGGTGAACATGATGAGTCTTGGGGTGAAAAGGGGAGTAAAACAAGAAGGAATCTAGAGGTACTTCTAAACTTAAATAATATCATATTTTATATGCATTTATAGATTTTTATTTTTATTTTTAAAATTTTCGTTGTCTGCTGTTAGATTATCAGAATATAAATTAAGGTTTAACAATACAAATTAGATTTCTTATATCTAGGAGTTCGTGTTGCTAATAATTATTCATATATGTATGACGTACAGGGGGAATCGACATACGAAGAAGCTGAGCAGCTTAGCCCAGTTTCAGTTCTTGATTCTCCATTTTGTGAAGACGGAGAATCCATATTTCCTTTTCATCCCACCTTCCCCAAGAGAAAATGCATTTTCATGCAAAGACTCCAACAATTCGAGGGCCTTACAGAATTGGAAAACGTTGGAGAGAGCCAAGTGGATAATCCGCTATTTGATTTCTTTAAGAATGATTGTGAGAATTTTGAGAATACTGCAAAATCTTGGATTAATGGAGAATATGAAAATTGGGAGGCGCTGGACATGAAGGCGGCATGTGTTAAAGATATGGAGAGGGGACTGGACTGGAAAGAGTTTAAAGATGAACAAGAAGAAATGGCAATGGAGTTGGATATTCAACTTTTGAGCGATTTGTTTGACGAGCTTTTGGATGATTTTGCCAGTAAAAAGTAACTTATACATTGTAAGCACTTGAAATCTATCTCAATGTACGCACCATATGAATGTACATAATCTAAATATTTATAAAATTTCGTTGAATATCACGCAATCTTTATAATAATTTTCTTCTATCATAGATGCCGCTAACGTTTATGAATTTATAAAATTTCGTTGAATATCACGCAATCTTTATAATAATTTTCTTCTATCATAGATGCCGCTAACGTTTATGAAATATTTTATACTTATATGATCATTTATACTAATTGATTCATGTCCTGTGTCTGTCTACATGGAGGTGATGATTACTAATTTTTTTCATTTATATCAAAATAAATATTTTTTATTTGAATTTCATTTGATTCTTTCTAATTTTCGTCTGTAGAATTATGATATGCTGGGATTTTGGATCCATTTTAAAATGGAACCGAATAGACTCAACATGATTTAGCCCACTAAAGGACTGAGCCCACAATTAGTGGGTCGGGAGTCATGCTACATCCACAGTATTATTAGGAGAAAAAATGGTACATAAGCCAAAAAGTAAAATTTAAAAGTTGATGCAAAAGCTTCAAAAAAAAAAAAAAACCTAGAAAAATATTGTGCACACAAAATTATGCATAAATTTTTATTATTCGTCCTACAAGACAGGTCACGTGCAACCGGTTAAGTAAAGACAAAGCAAAAAGCTACACAAAATACGCATTCAACTTCGCCTTGCACCTCATGTCGCCTCTGAGGTGATTGGGCAATTAATCGAGGTGATTTAGGCGCTTGAAGTGATATCACCTCATCTGAAGTGGCACTTTCGAGGCGAGGCGAGACGCCACCTCGTATTTCCAAGGTGATTTGGACGTCTTACTCGAAATGATAGCACCCATCTCTTGCTGCATTGTTTTTGAGGTGGTTAACTGCCAAGGTGATTTAGGTACCTCATCTGATGTGATAGCACCTAATATAAAGTTGCACTTAAGGCGATGAGCCCCTCCTATTAAAGGCATCTTCTACAAACATTATCTTGATCAAAACCAAAATTAAAAGAAAGAAAAACCTATTTTTTTTTATAAATTAAAGGAATTAAAAAATATATAAAGAATAAATAGATAGAAAAGTAGAAAGTCAAAACCCGTGTGTTTTATTGAGAATCAATGTTATATTTATAGGGTCCATAATAAGAATTACAATTGGAAGAAAATAGACTCTCTAAACTAAATAAGACTTATCTATGCATGATAATAATAATACATAATCATCAATATTTATCTTATAATTTTACAACACTCCCCCTTTGATGATTATTTGCACAATAAATATCTCATTGAAACATTGTTTGACAAAAACCCTACGAGACAAAATACAAACAAATGAAAAAAGAGTACAAATAATTTGAAACAATAAAATGTTGCCTCGTTAAAATCTTGTCAAGAAAACTCAATGTGACAAAACTTGATCGAAGGAAAAAGGTACAACCACTCCTCCTGATTTCAATTCTTGTATCAAGCAATCCATGTCTTCCATGTCAATGTCTTCAATATGGATATCTTGTACGTCAATATCTTCAAAAAATGTCGTCTTCATACAAAACATTTATCAATCTTTGATAACTATAGTAACATGATAATTCGAAAAATAACTATTGACGATCTCTTCGAGAGTTTCATACATATCAGAGTATTAATTTGAGGACAAATATCTTATATGTTATGAACATTCATTACATAAAAAATATGTCTCGCTAAAACCTTATTAGGAAAAATTTTGTGGGAAAAATCTTAATAAAAGAAAAAGAGTGCATTATTCTTTTGAATACGTTACAAAAGTTGTTTCATTAAAAACCTTGTCAAGAAAATCTAATGGGACAAACTCTTGGTGAAGGAAAAAAGAGTACAAGACATATTTACTCTCCAATAATAATATCACTTGAATTACGTTTTAAATATATTAAATCTTTCAAGGATAGTATCAAAATCATACAAGATAAATTGTATATAATCACATCTATTACATACATATCAAATTGCATGCACTGTGATAAAATCATAATTTATCCGATAATATTTGTTTTGAATGGATGGATTAAGATAATTATATTCAAGTTGATATAATATTTTAGAGATATTTGTAGGGTTTGTATGTGAGAAACTCATCCGTATGAAGAGATATACTTCATAATAATATTTAATATAGAGAAATTGAAGAAAATTAATCATATAATATCTATGGAGATAAATAGTTTCGTAATACTTATCCAAAATATTAAGAAGAATTTGACATAAAATAGCTTTTCCATAAGAAAATTGTTGGAAGAATGAAATACATTTCATAATAATAACTTGGTATGTGTATTCACATAAAAAAAATTAGGAAAATTCCCCAAGTATAGAGGAATGTGAAGAATTCATTCAGGTGTTTCAGTGTGCAGTTAATGTCTACGTGGAAAGGAGGTTGAAGAGATTCTGTTGATGCATTTTTTGAGGTCAACAGATACCACTAACGTTTATGAAATATTCTATCATTATATGATCATTTATACTAACTGATTCATGTCATGTGTCTGTTTACATGGAGGTGATGATTACTAATTTTTTTCATTTATATCAAAATAAATATTTTTTATTTGAATTTGATTTGATTCTTTCTAATTTCGTTTGTAGAATTATGATATGCAGGGATTTTGGATCGCTTTTAAATGGAACCGAATAGACTCAACACGATTTAGCCCACTAAAGGACTGAGCCCACAATTAGTGGGTCGGGAGCCATGCTCCATCCACAGTATTATTAGGAGAAAACATGGTACATAGACCTAAAAGAAAATTTTAAAAGTTGATGCAAAAGCTTAAAAAAACTAGAAAAATATTGTGCACACAAAATTATGCATAAATTTTTATGATTCGTTCTACAAGACAGGTCACATGCAACCAGTTCAGTAAAGACGAAGCAATACTACACAAGACACACATTCAGCTTCGTCTCGCACCCCACGTCCCCTCTGAGGTGATTGGGCAATTAATCGAGGTAATTTAGGCGCTTTATTTGAAGTGATATCACCTCATCTGAAGAGGCACTTTCGAGAGGAGCGAGACGAGACGCCACCTCGTATTTCCAAGGTGATTTGGACGTCTTATTCGAAATGATAGCACCCACTTCATGTTGCATTGTTTTCGAGGTGATTAACTGTCAAGATGATTTAGATGCCTCATTAGCACCTAATATAAAGTTGCACTTTCAAGGCGATGAGCCACCCCCTTCCATTAAAGGCATCTTCTACAAACATTATCTCGATCAAAACCAAAATTAAAAAGAAAGAAACACCCTTTTTTTTATAAGTTAAAGGAATAAAAGAAAAATACAAAGAATAAATAGAGAACAAAGTAGAATGTCAAAACTCAAGTGTATTTTATTGATAATCAATATCTCATATTTATAGGGTCCGTAATAAGAATTACACAAGGAAATAGACTCTATAAACTAAATAAGACTTATCTATGCATGATGATAATAATACATAATCATCAATATTTATCTTATAATTTTACAACACTCCCATTTGATGATTATTTGCACAATAAATATCTCATTGAAACATTGTTTGACAAAAATTCGACGGGACAAAATACCAACAAATGAAAAAAGAGTACGAACAATTTGAAACAATAAAATGATGCCTCGTTAAAATTTTGTTAAGAAAATTGAATGGGACAAAACTTGATCGAACGAAAAAGAGTACAGTTACTCCTCCTAATTTCAATTCTTGTATCAAGCGATTCATGTATTGTATGTTAATGTCTTCAATAGTGATATCTCGTACGACAATGTTTTCAAATAATGTCGTCTTCATACGAAATATTTATCATTCTTTGATGACTAAAGTAACATGATTCGAAAAATAGCTATTGACAATTTCTTTGGGAGTTTCATACATATCAGAATATTATTTTGAGGATAAATATCTTGTATGTGACAAAAGAGTGCATTATTCTTTTGAATACGTTACAAAAGTTGTATCATTAAAAACCTTGCCATGAAATCCTAATGGGACAAAACCTTGGTGAAGGAAAAAAGAGTAGAAGGCATATTTACTCCCCTCATGATAATATGACTTGAATTATGTTTTTGGCATATTAAATCATTCGAGGATAGTATCAAAACCATATAAGATAAATTGTCTATAATCACATCTATTACATACATATCAAATTGCATGCATTGTGGCGCTGATGAAATAAAGACTTGTGATTACATCTACCACATGATAATTTATCTATATGACAAGTTTTCGCAAAATTATATATGTAAAAAGTCATACATTTCATATTACGACTTTACTTTTTTCATCTTCATTTCACATAATTATACACATTTAAGTGTTCAGATTGTAAATCCAGAAACTTCATATTTCTCTAGCAAGTTTAATTTTATTAGGATCGCGTCCAGAAATTTCAGATTTTTTATCTTAAATTTAATTTTAGTATGATTGTGTCATTTTATTTGGTCAAACATTACTTCAATCAATATGTTTCAACGAATTTATTTCAAATCCTCACTATTCATAATATGATGCAGTATATCATGTGCATAATTGTTGTCAACAATTTTTTCTTTTCTTTTCCTTTTCGATTTTATTTCTTTTTCTATAATGAAATATATTAATTTTCAATATATCATATATTGAGCCTCTTATGGAATTTTAAAATTTGTTATGTCAAATACTCATCAAAATTATATGACTCCTTAATATGATCATCTTTGTTAATTGCTCCATTTTTATTTGAATATTTTCTATATTAGAATCGAATATCATCACGTTTCAAGCGTCCCATAGATATATAAATTATAATGTTAACGAATTATCTTGTTATGACATCAATCCGTATTGGAGCATTTAAAATTGGCGCTTGAGATATTATAGATTTCTTTGGTCAGTAAATGCATCTAAATAAATTATCTTTTGAACTTTTGGTTCAAAATATCTTTTGTAAGGATTTATATAAGGATGTATTTTTACATTAT